CATGCCATGCAGTGTTTGGGATGCCCCCACCCAGGTGTTTGGTGTGGGCCTCAAGTCTGTTGTCTACAAGACGTGCGTGCTTCCCATTTTGCTGTTTGGCAATGAGTCGTGGGCGCTTCCTGATGGCCTGGTCAAGCGGCTGAACACCTTTCATAAAGACTGCCTACGGCGGATGTTGGGTGTGCGCCGCAGCGACCGTCACAGCAGCGCATATATCTATGATCGTTGCGCAGAGCACCCCATTGGTAGCTACCTGTCTGTTAACAGGCTGCGCCAACTGGGTCACACGATGCGCATGACCCACACTCGTTTGCCCAAATTGGCGCTTTGGAGCGCCGCCCCCGGCCCGCGCGCTGTGGGGCGGCCACGCGTGTCATGGTTTGACGCAGCGAGGCGAGACTGTGCTGCCATAGGGATCGATGTCCCCGTTCACCTAGACGACCGCTGCTCTGACCGCCCTGCTTGGACGAAGGCTTGCTTATCTCTCCTGCCAAGGAGGCGTGCGCCCTCTTACTAATTCCCGACTTGGCCGCACCCGCTTTCTCCTCTGGCCTTTACGGTTAGGGGCGTTACCCCTTTGGGGAGCCAGGGTTTTTCCCCTCGCTGCTGGAAAAGCGTGATGTAATGTAATGTAATGTAATGTAATGTAATGTAATGTAATGTAATGTAATGTAATGTAATGCACCTAAAAGCAGCAAAAGGCGACACCGTGTGCCAGCGGCGCAGCGCGCGGCGGGCCCTTGCCGCAACCAGTGTCACAGCCCAGAGCTCAGGAACGAGGCCACCATGCCCTGCAGGTACGCCTGCCGCTCCTGCACCAGTGTCAGAGTGATCTCAGCGTCGTCCTGGGGCAGTTTTGGGATGACAGACCGCGGGATTCCCAGCTCCTCCGCGTCCGCACACAGGGCGCCGTACGCCGCCCGCCACTGCAGCACCGCCAGCGCGCCGTCCCGCGGGCCAGCGCCGCCCGCGCCCGCGCCCGCGACGGCCGCGGACAGCGGCGTGAGGGCGGGCGCCCACAGGACGTCGGCCACGTTGTCCGGGGTAATGTACGGGGCCCGAGGGCTGGCGGCGGGCGATGCGGCCGTGGCGACGAGGGCCCGGAGACCGAGGGCCGCGTCCGTTATGAGGCGCACTGTCGCGAAGCCGTTGGCGAGCAGCACCCTGCCAGTTGCGTGTACATGCAGAAGGGTTCAGCAGCCAGGTTGTTGGCGCAGGGGTTAGACATGACCATAGGCCGCTTGGGTTGCAAGCCAGAGGGCAAGGCCCTGTGTGTGTGTGTGTGTGTGTTTGGGAAACGCAAAAAGTGGTCGACAAAGAGCACACAACGCACCCACCTTGTGACGAGGTCTGCCCGCTCATCCAGGGTGCGCGCCAGCATGCCGGCAAGCGCACGTGCGCGGTAGCAGTCCTCTCCAAGAGTCACAACAAACACGCCGCGGCCGGGCACCAGCACGCGCGCCACCTGAGGCATGCGCATTGAGGGTGGTTGTGTGCAACGTTTGCATCGTAGTGTGCAACGTTGGAGAGCAGCTTGGCTCCCTCAAAATGATCACCCTCATGCGTGCGCATTCCTCATTCAAAACAGCCCCCACCGCGGCCCAGCAGCTGCACCCTCGTGAAAGCTGCTCAACCATCAGCCGCACCCTCGCGAATGCTGCTAAACAATGCGTGCAGTACGGCCCGCGAGCTGCCACACAGCAACACAGCACGCACAGCGCAGTCTCCCGCACGCACCTCTGCCGTGACCTCCTCAAGCCGCGCCAAATAGTAGACCGAGTTGCAGCACAGCACTGCGTCGACCGCCCCCTTGCCGATGTCACTCAGTGCGGGGCTCTCGTCCAAGTCCTGGGTGCCACAAAACGCGACATGGAGGCGTACCATACAAGCTCAATCACCAAAGATTGGATGCAGCATCCAAACGATAAGGAGTGCACTATACCTTGCACACAACCACAATCCAGGGAGCCGCTTGCACACCAGTGCGCAGGCCCGTCGACCTGGCTTCGCATGAAAAATGTGTGCCACAGCACGGCGCACACAGACCTGCACAAACCAGCTCGACAAGTCCTTGTTAGCCTGCAGCTCATCCGCATTGATGCCGTGCCCGATCAGATTGATTTGAGCCGCCAGATCTGGGTTCAAATGGGAGGCCCAGCTGCTGCACAGGTCCAGCACAGTTGGTCGCTGCTGCTGCTGCTGCTGCTGCTGCTGCTGCTGCTGCTGCTGCTGCTGCTGCTGCTGCAAAGAGACAGGTCTTGCATCTGCCGTTGACCTTGCAAGTGGTTGTGATGGATCTGTCTCATCAAGTTCGTTGCTTCTGGATGCTGTAGAGGCTTCACCGGCCGCGGCCGAGCCAGCGGGGTACACCAGAGGGGCGAGTACCTCTTCATACAGCTCTGGTGAGAGCGGCAGCCGGCACGCAAGGCGGCCAGACGTGGGAATGCGAGGGAACCACGTATGTGTTTCGCTCGTTGACTGCTAGCAGTGCGCAACATGGCTGTTTGACAACAAAAGCGAGGCGCGCAGCAACCCAAGCCATGGCGGATAGACAGACATTGCCAGCGGGCCGTCCATCCCACACACGCAAAAGCCGCCACCCGCCCCCACCAACACCCACCTGACACCCGCTTCAGAAAGGCATCATCCGCATGCTTCACGCCGATGCGCGGCGTCGCATAGAACTCCGCCGCCGGCCGCGTGTCGACCGTGCGGCGGTCTTCGTCAGACAGCACCAGCTTGGGACCTTTTCACCATGCACGTGTGTGTGCACGGTCCCGGGGAGGGCGGCGGCGCATGGGCACGGGCGGTGCTGTGCTTGTGGTTGTTTGGGGCTCATCTGCGAATTTGCCACGCGGCTGAGTGACCAACCAGTGTACTCAACACCGCGCAGAACGCAGGCAGCAGTATGTCCGTCTCGCAGCTTTTCCACTGCTGCACCACACCTGCATGCAGAGGGCGCATGGCCGCACACGCGCGGCGCGCCGCACCTCTCAAGACCGGGGCGCCGACGTCTGTGATGAGGCCGCTCTGGCGATGAGGCCGCCCGCCGCTGCGCGTTAGGGCTGCGCGCGTACACGGCCAGCGCCGCGACCTCAGAAGCCACTGCTGGCCGTGCCTGCTGTGATCGTGCTGCCGCTGTGCCGTGCAGGGTCGGCGCAGCATGTGGGCTTCACAGCGCCTCACGTCAGCACTGCAGTATGCGGGAGCTTGAACTGTGAATGCAGCGGCGCTGGTGCTGGCAGCGTGCTTTGGACTGTACAAATTATGGTTTGCTGTTTCAATTCAAGTCTCATATGACGACATCAAAATTGAATTGACGTGTTCGAATTCTGCTTGATCCAAGAAGCCCGCTGATCTCATCAGGCTCTGAAACCTCGAGCATCTGAACGAATGGACGAGCCACTAATTGGGCAGTCTCGTGCTCAACAGCGCGCCCGTGCCAGCGCCACAGTAGCGCTGGTGCTTGGTGCGCTCTGCACCTGTACGATCGGTCTGGTGCTGCTCGGTGATCAGGGGGGCGCTCCCCTGCCGGCGCCCAGCTGCGAAACGGGCGTGTGTCTGGCACCTGAGTGTATGCACGCTCTCGGCGGCGGTCTTGTCGGCAGGTGAAGGTCCCACGGGGAAGCACACACAAAATAGTCGTCGCAGCTGGTTTGCAGGCCGAGCTGGGCGTGCTGTCCACAGCCGGATGATTTTGAATTCGGTTGCTCACGACATGTCGTATGGTTGTAGATCTCTGCGCTCTTTTGCTTTGCGCGACCCCCTTTTGAACAACGCACCCCCCCCCCTCGTCCCCTCCCCACTCCTTGACCCCCAGGGGCGGAGACTTCCCCCACATCGACCCTGCCGGCTGCACAGCCCAGCTCAGCGCGTACATCACCAGCGGCGCTTACATACGGGAGGTCAATGCCTCGGTCGACGCTGCCTTTGCCGCCCTTGGCCTCTCCCCTGACTCGGCGGCAGCCGGCACCATGGCGAGCGGCGGCGCCGGCACACCCCTCTCAAAGGGCCGCCGTGGCAGCAGGACTGAGGTCTTCGTTTTCGACATCGATGAAACGGCGCTGTCAAACATTGTGCACCTCAAAGACCAAGGACTTTTCAGGGGAAAACGGGAGGACTGGGACACGCTGGTTGGCGCAGTGAGCGCGCCGCCGCTGGAGCCCACGCTCGGGTTTTACAAGGCGCGTGTGACGGAGGAGGAATCAGCAGGCCTGGCTGCGTCGATCACGTGTTACTACCTGTAGGACCGTGGGATTTGTCAGCTGTGTGTGCCGGCCTTGATTGTGATGCTTTCAGTAGCCCAGCAGGTGGCGCTGATTGCTTGCACCGGCTACATCAGGACGCTGCAATCATGGACTGCCGCTTGCTGCTGCTGTTGAACGTCCTCGCAGGCGCTCTGCGCGGCTGGCTACTCGGTCGCCTTTGTGACTGGACGAGGGGAGGTGAGGCTTCCTAGCGGGGACCACTTGCACTTCAGATCGCCATTGATCCGAATGCAAATCGAGCTAGTAGGGGCAGTGGACGCACCTCCCCAGGTTCAAGCTCGCAGCGGCAGGGCCGCTCAGGTGCAGCAGTCACTGCTCCCAACCGTTGCACGCACTCATCGCCTTGGCGATGCAGTGCCTTCTGCGGCCCCTCCATTTTACCATGCGTTGTGCCCTGCGCGCGCCCTTAAACCCACCCCTGCGCTTCACCAGAGGGTGCGGGCCGCCACAGCTCGGAACCTGTTTGAGGCCGGCTACGGCCGCAAGTGCGCCAGCCCCGCCCTCCGCGGCGCCGGGGGCGCGCCGCCCCCGCAGCAAGCCGCCACCGCGGAGGCCGTGGGTGCCGCCGCCGCCGCCGCTGCCGAGGGCGAGTGCTGCTACGTCGACCTGCTGCTGCGGCCGCCTGGCGACGACCGCCTGGCGTCTGTCTACAAGCCTTGGGCGCGGCACCAGCTGGAGCTGCAGGGCTACACGATATTCGGGTCCATTGGCGACCAATTCAGCGACCTCAGCGGCACAGTGTCGGCCCCATACTCAATCAAGCTGCCAAACATTTTTTACTACATCCTGTGAGATGCCACCCACGAACTGCCATAAACAAAACCTGTTCCTACTGTGTTACTCAAGTTGACTTTGTGAATTACACATTGCCTGTAAACATGCATCGTGATTGTAACACGGGCACGTGTCGAAACGACTTGGTTGGACGGCATGTAAACCACCCGTCACAGGGCGTGCTGGCGTGGCCACACGCCCGCCATTGCAGTGTCAGGCAACAGGATCAATTGACAGCGCTGGCTGAGAGAGTCAGCCCTGGGCGCAGTGTGGTTGGTACTCGCTCTTGTGAAAGGCGTTCCCTCAGCAGCATTCTTTGTCACCGGCTGGCGCCGCCGCCGAGGTGTCCCCACAACCGCGCCGCCGCTTCCTGCCGCCGCCGCCACTGCTGCTGCTGACGCCCCGCGTCCTGCTCTGCCGCGGCGCCGCCCCCGCTGCCGCACGAGCCCCGGTCCTCGCGCGGCGAGGCCAGGGTGCCGCTGTCGGGGTCGACCCCGCCGCTGACGCCGCTTGGAGGCTCGCGTGGCGGGGCGCCCTCCCGCAGGTGCTTGTACTGCTCACCCCAGAACTCGGCCGCCTGCTTTCGCGTGCGGATGCGCCAGACCTGGTGGGGGCCAGGGATCAGGATGATGTCCTTTTCGGGGTCCATCTTGATTACCATGCAGTTTTTCAGCCGCGTCCAGTCGTCCATGCACCTGTGTGGGGGGGCAGAGAGCGGTGAGACGGGTGAGGGCTGGGAGCAGGCAGACAAGCGGTGCACATGCAGCGCAGCCAGTTGCAGTTTGGGTCTGCCGGTGGGCAGATGGCATGCGTGCGCACCGCAGGGACTACTGATTGCACGCTGACGCACAAAACGGACACAAGGGGCTCTAGGCTGGGCTGTGGGGCGTAACCGCACCTGCTGAGCTTCCCATTTACATAGAGCTGCCGCAACCGTGCCCCAGGGCCGCCGCATGTGATCCAGCTCCAAAAGCAGAAGAGGCAGTCATGCATCTCCTCGTTAAGCGCCTGCGTTCGCCGCTCCACAGGCTTGTTCACCTCCCATGGGTTCTCCTTGGGTGCAGCGTCGGTGGGCGGCGAAGCGCCGCTCTCGCTGCTGCTGGTGATGGGGGCACTTGCGCTCGCCTCAGGCTGCTGCGAGCCCGCCGCCCCAGAGGATGTGTCTCGAGGCTCTTCGGGCGTTGATGATGCCATGTGAGCGAGCACTGCGCAGCAGGGAAGGCTCACGGTGTCACTGTGTCGAGAGTTATGCGGTGACGTGATCTGGTATTGAGACTTGCGGTTGTCTACGGCTTTGACAGCGACAGCGAGGACGTTATTGTGGCACAATTGCAATAATCAAACACTTCAAGGTCAAGATCGCAAGAGTCGTCGTCCTTGCCGCGGCGAACACGCAAGCAACCATCAACCTCCTGTGGCTGTGCATACAAGAGTGCTTGGGTTTTCAATCCGCCGGTTCAACCGGGCTCAGCGCTGCAGGAGCTCATCAGCGGATTAGCAGCGCCGCTGCAAGTGCATTGACTCACAACGAGAGCTTTGACGACAGCTGCGCATAGTGGGAGGGCTCGGGAGCATGTGAGGAAGCTGTGGCATCAGCGAATACGTCGACACGATGATGGCAAACCAGGCGGCACGGGTGGCGCCACCCGGTATCACCCGGCCACGCACCCTCACAAGTGAGAGGCGCTGCAGCACGCGCGCTTCCTTGTGCTGCTACACTCCCGACTTGTGCCACAAAAATACGAGCAGGCCTGTGCCTATACAATGCTGATTATCCCATCAATCCACAGAAGCCACTGTGCTGCTATCGAGTTGTTGCCGCCACCCCTGCCGCTGCAAACTCTCTGTGACTGATCGTCAGACCGGCGCATCTGCTCGAGCCTGCCGCTGCAGCAGCTCCTCTACTACAACATGTTCTGGTCCATCGCATGGCTCATAACGCACGCCCTACGCATCTGCGTGCGGGTGCGTGCACGTCGCCTTCGCTTGTCGCGTCGCCAGACATGTGCATCTCGCCAGGCTGAGCAGCAGCAACAAACGCTCGCAGCAGCCATGTGCTGCCGCAGCCGTGCACATCTCGTGCCTCCCCACAGGCATGTGCTACGCTGCCGCTGCCGCTGCCGCTGCCGCTTGACCCTTGACACGCCACTGCGTTGACCGCTTGCAAGCGCAGTTTCGCACGGGGCTCATGGTATCCGACCCTGACGTAGTGCGGACAGTGCTCACGCTCTTTTGGCTGCTGGCGGAGCCGGTGCGGCTGCTGGCTGGGTACTACGGCAACCTGCAGGAAAACGTGTGTCGATGACGCTGTTCTGCTTCGCTCAGCAGCAATTGGGGGGGGGGGGTGTGAGGGCTCGAGCATGCGTAGTATAGGCTGCCGGCTGCCCGCATCCAATCTGCGCATGCTGCGCGTGCCGGATGCAAGGCGGGGCTGCAGGCGTTTGTGCCTGGGGTGTGTCCGTGCCAGCATCAGACTGTGCAGCTGGCCCCTGATCTACGGCGTTGCGCTTGCGAACACTGTGTGCATGTGCAGGTTCCATGGGTAGTTGTCTTCCTGGCATTGACGCTGGCGCCCCAGACAGCTGTCTCCTACTACATGATGCTCGCCCAGTGGGTGAGCTCATGGACTCCCCAGCCGCTCTAGTAGTACAGTAAACGAGTGACGAGCAGGGCTCGTGCAGGTAGCAGGCGCCCCTGCTTGCCCGGCCGACCTTGAAGGGTCGTTCCTGCCAAATAACCAAGCTTTGCAGCTCTGGTACCACTTTGAGACTGCGCCCGGGCCCCCCTGCCCGCAGTATTTGACGCCCTTTGACCAGGCACTGCAGGTGGTGACCGCGCTGCTGCTGCACAGCGAGCTTTTGGTGGCCCTGTATGCGGTGAGGAGGGGGGGCACGCGAGCTGCGATCAGCCATGGCTTTGTGCTTGGTGATTTTGCCTTGCAGCGCGGCGCAGAAATCGCGGCCGCCCACCACACCGTGAGGGTGTCAGTGTACGCTCAAACGCATGCAACACCCAAGCAGAGCATTTGAACTGCTCTTTTGCTTGCAGATGGCACGCATGCTGAGGATGCAGCGGCAGCAGTACTACCTGTTCGAGGCGGCGCTGCAGCAGCAACAGCAGCAGCTCCAACAACAGCAGCAGCACCAGTCGATGTACAGGCAGTGGCACGGCAGAGAGTGACCAGGGGGGTGTTTTGTGTAATTCATAAGGTGTGGTACTGCACATGCGTCCATGTAAGTCAGCTTTGCATGGCAGGTAGTGGGGAGCGTCGCTTTGCATGACCCCAATCCGCAGATGTGCTGGTCAATTCAAGAGCACTCAGGTCAACCAGGCAGCGGGAGTGGAAAATCGAAAGGGGCTTCCACGTGCGCTTGACGGGTACTGCAACTGCTGCGGGTACAAAGTGAGCTGGTATCATACTTCGACGGGCATTACTGTATGCACACAAATACACAGAGAATTGCACCCATCCGGCGCCACCACTGCAGTCGCTGCCCCTCACCAGAGTGACAAGCGCATTGAGTTAGCTTGCGTGGCTGTGGCATGTGCATGATTGATTGCACGAATCCCCTCCAAAGTACGATAATTTGGTTCTGTATGGAAGCCCCATAAGGCCGCAAATCGTCATTTCCTGCGCTAGAGGGTCTTGGGTAATTTGAGCGTCGTTATCAGCAATGGCAAACCTAGCAAAACTTGTGGAGGTCGCCCCTGAGGCGGTCCAGTCTTTGGAGGCGAAGCTGAGGGCGCGCGAGACCTCGCTGCCCGAAAAGTACCGCGTTCTGTTCTCCCTTCGCAACATCGACGGCAAGGGGGCACACGATGCTCTCGCCCTAGGTGCGGCAAATGGGCGCAGGGGTTCGGCGCCTCGCTGCTCGCTGTACTTGTCGTTGCCAGTCGCCAGCCGCCGCCGATCAAATGTGCACTCCGCCATGCACCTTACTTTTTCACAGCCCTGCGCGACGGCTCAGCGCTGTTTCGGCATGACGTGGCGTTCTGCATGGGGCAGCGGCAGGACCCGGCAGCAGTGGAGGTGCTGCAGGCAGTCCTTGCCGACACGTCTGAGCACCCCATGTGAGGACGCGGCTGCCTGCGCGATCATGCGAGTGCCGCCCTGATCCAGTTGTGCCTTTGCTGCAAACAGCCGCTCAAGCAGTCACGTGCCAATGCAGTTGTAGGCCTTGGCCGGCTGGCACTCAAGGCCGCCGTCAGTAGCGCATGAACCGGCGCTGCGCTGCGAAGCCGCTCATGCTCGCTGCCCTCAACTGCACCCAACCCCCGGCCGCGGCGCCCCCCGCAGGGTCCGCCACGAGGCAGGCGAGGCGCTCGGCGCGATTGGCCGCCCCGAGTGCCTCGACTCTCTCCGCCGCCACGCGCGCGACGCGGCGCCGGAGGTCGCAGAGACCTGCCAGCTGGCGCTGGAGCGGATCGAGTTCCTGCAGCAGGCCGGCCCCGCGGGGCTGCGGGGCGGCGATTCCCCTTACATGTCGGTCGACCCGACGCCGCCGTTCCCGCTTGAAACGCCCATGGAGCAGCTGCGGCAGATACTGCTGGACCCGAACCAGCGCATGTTTGACGTGAGCAGGATTGGCAGCGTTTTCGGCCCCGGGTCACGAGCGCGAGGCCTGCCGTGTGCCCTTTGGTGTGACGGGCCGCGGCTCAGGAGCAGTCTGTGGGTGTGGCACGTGCGCGTGCGCAACCTGTCGTGCACAGAGCAGCCCGCAACCCGCAGCTGCGGCGCCTGTAGGCCTGGCGCCTCAGGCAGGGGCAGGCCTTGGCACTCGCGGGCAGCTGGGTCACCCTTCACTCGCAGCGTGCGTAGGGCGCTGTCACACTGTTCAACGGGAAAAACACGCCACGCACCACCCCCTGACGCACTCCTCGCTCGCAGCGCTACCGCGCGCTGTTCGCGCTGCGCAACCGCGGCGGCGACGAGGCGGTGGCCGTGCTGTGCGAGGCGTTTGGCGCGGCGAGCGCCCTCCTGAAGCACGAGGTGGCGTACGTGCTGGGGCAGCTGCAGCACCCCCTGTCGGTGCCGACGCTCGGGCGCGGTGAGGGGGCTTGTGGGCAGCTCGGCTTGAGCGGATGGCGGGAGAGGGGGGAAAGCGTGGTGGCTTCGTTGCGTTGCGGGAGCCGGGCTGCGGCGCGCACACAGAGGCTGCCGGAGGGTGACCCCATGCGTTAACCCGCTCACGCCATGCCGACCGAGCTCCGTCTTGGCCCTCCTCATACCAATTTCCTTCTGCAAACTGCCATCACCACATCGGCCTGTGAACCAACCCACCCCCAGTACTGCGGGACCAGCGCGAACACGCCATGGTGCGCCACGAGGCCGCCGAAGCGCTCGGCGCCGTCGCAGACCCCGGCTGTGTCGCGCTGCTGCGCGCGCACGCTGCTGACGCAGAGCCCATTGTTGCACACAGCTGCGTGGTGGCGCTGGACGTTTTGGAGCACGAGGCCAGCGGGGCCTTCGAGTACTGCGCCGCGGTGGGTGGGCCGGCCGGCGCGGCCGGGGGTGCGGCGGTCGCGGCGCACTGACCGTGTTGTTCGCGCCGCGCGCCGGGCGTCGCTGTTCGCCGGCCTGGATGTTTACAGCATGAGGTATTGCTGCCCAGTGTTTATTGTTGCTCAGCTACGATGTCAGTATGTGATCGATTCTCATTGTGGGCGGGGATGGAGGATTTGTTGTGCTGCACCTGGTGTCGCCCGCTGCTCATGGGCTTGTGTGTTTTGTGATGTCGCCCGCTGCCCTGGGCGTCCTGTAGTGGATGTAGCCTAGCCCCACGGCTGCAGTCTTGTGCACATGCATGTCTTTCAATGCTTTTGACCCAGCAAAAACAAGCCACTGCCTGAGAGACAAATACTGTGAGTGTGCCGTGCCGTGTAACTAGCAAGTCATGTTCATATCAATCGAGCTCATCACTGGCTTCATCCTGCTGCTGAGTGGCAAGCATGCCTGCAAGTGTGTGCGGTCATGTTGTGAGCATTCATCGGCAGTATTTGTTCAGATTTGTTCAAATTCGACATGTGGGGGTGCATGGGAGATCGCTTGCTGGTGTGGTGTACCCACCGTTTGGGGTGCACCCGCCATAAGAGGCCAGCACTTGTGTGCAGAACCGCAGACAGGGGACTGACTGTGGTGCTCCTGCTTTGGAGCCCACTCATTACACTGAAACTGAGGATCTGGCGGTGCCTCAGTGTCTTCATATCACGCATCCAGGCATGGACAGTGCGGAGAGGGGCGATCGTGAATGGTTGGGAGAACGGGGTGTGTGGTGGCTTGATGCACGGTATCTCAACCAGCGGTTGTTCGACATGCTCTGAACTATACCTTGTGGTTTTGATTTTCTTGGTGGCTCTGTGCTTGCTGATAATGTTGCCCCTTATGTGTATGCTTACTGGCCGTTGGAAAGCTAGGAATGAGGTGGTCCGCTCTGATGAGCGCGGGGCCGATGGCAGTTATGCTATGGTGTGAGTAACTTATATATCTATCTCGTGGTTCCAAAGTTCAATGAACGGTACATGAGAGGAGAATCCTGCCGTATCCTGTACGATTGTTGGCTGATTTGTGTAGACCCTATGTGGTGGCAAAATTGCAGCCTGCGCCTGCACGCTGCGCAACAACACCGACACAGCTGATCCTAGGAGGCACCTGTACATGTACCACATGTGGAGAGGCTTGACAGGTGCACAGAGCTGGCCAGCATGCAGGGCGTTGTGAGTAATCATATTTCGCTGCAACCGGTGAGCCAGCCAGGACGGTCGGTGACGCGGCGCTTGCGGTGCTTTGACTGGTTATGACGGACTGCGTTTTGGGCTGTGGCTGTCCGCTGGCCTGTATGTTATCCTGGAGTGTGCCGTGCTATCTCCGCATGATGATTGTTTGGACCTTCACGTTTGTTGGCGTTGGGTACGCTAGCAGTTGTGGGCCTGGACTTTGTGTTTGGAGCCATATAAGCCCCAAAGCTGCCGTAGGTGCAGTAATTTGCCTGTCAAACCCGTTTCGCACGATCAAAGCCGTCCTGGAGTAAGGAACAGCTTGACAAATGCCGGGCTGTCTGCAGGTGTTTGGTTGAAGCATGATCAGGAGCCGTGGGAGCCAGTAGGTGGTTGTACTGAGGTTCAGGTGTTTTATAGGGCAATTGGTTTGACATCAAGTGTCGGCATGACCAGGGCTTCAGCTGCTGGCGCCACAACCAGCCCTTCTTTGTAGCATGTGGCAAGCCAGCGGAACTGCGATGGGATGGCGATGGGAGGACACCTGCAGCACTACAGGCGATCGTGCAACATGCCAAATGGCTCAGTGAGCTGCTGAGCAACATCAGAGATGGGTGATGACAGTCCGAATCTCGAGGGGAGCATGCGTGCACCCCTGCCCCAGCGTCGGTTGAATTAGTTGTGGGAATGGCAAACATGCGCCTCGCGAGCAAGCTCGCACGTGCCCATCCTGGACACACAACTGTATGCTGACATTGCATCGCCCATGGGCTACCCAGCAGGCCCTGCGCCCAGCTTGTTGGCGCACAATGCCAGTTGGCGCAGCACTGCTGCTGAGCAGCGCCCACGGTTGAGCCCGTCATTGGGAGCGCCGCGAACTCACGATGCGCAGAACGAGGGTAATCAGCAGCCGACACACACCGAATTTACATGCTCCTGATTGTGTAGTTGGCCTGCAGAGCAGCCCGCTGCCTGCAGCTGCTCGGCGGAGACCCAGATTCTTGCGATGTCCTGGTATCATGTGCCCCCCGTCGCAGCGCTTCCTCACTTCGGCAGATGCAGTTGTTGCACTATGGCGTCGAATTTAGGACCCCGCTCCCTTGGAAAATCGAGACAGTAGCCGTGGCTGCGGTCAGCAGGTCGAACAGAGGAGCTCCGATCGGCAGTAACACATTCGTTTCTGTTCGAGCACCCTCTTTGACCGACATGACGCAGGCCACGGTGGGTCCAGGGCGGGGCCCGGCCGGCATCATCTGAGCCCAAGCAAGCCCGTTGTCATCATGAACGGGCTCTTGCCGCCTCAAGCGCAGGCGACCCTGCGTGGTTCTGGACGCTTGATGGGTGCAACGCAAGACCTGGCTATTGGCGGTCACAGGGGGTGAGCTCACGGCGCCGTAGCGTGCCAGCGTGGCGCCGAACGGGCCAGCCCTTTCGCTGTCGATCGGCCTGCATGCGGGGCATAGCAGTCTCAGGTTCATGTATAATGGTGTATTAATGTATCAGCGGCAGTGACGCACCCTGCTGGTTGCCCATGGGGCTGCTGGCCGACTCCTAGGTGTCGTGACCCGAACCAAGGTGGTTCTCGGGTGCGGGCAACCCGCAGCCACGTCAGCACCCCCGTCCATGCACCCCCCAGCCCCTGCCCCTGCCCTCCCCTCTCAATCAGCTACACCACCTTATCT